ATACAAACACATTTAGAAAAATGTTAATAGTTTAGTGTTTACCTTTTCAGAGGTTGAAACAGAGTTAACCATGTCATCCAGCATGCAACCTAAGTCAGAAATCTCAGAAAAGAAAGTATTTGAAGTGACATAGAGAGAACCAGATATTCTCACAGTCATCTCATAGAAGCCTTTCAGGAAATGGACTAAGCTTTGCACAGAAAGCCAATCCATAAAATTTGGAATAGAATCAGATAAGTCAGCATTCAATGAGGCATCATTCTCATAAGCTTCAAAGGCCCTCTGGTATTGAAGGGCAGTGTTAAGCATCATGTATGTGCTGTTCCATCTTGTTGGAACATCAAGTTGTAATGCACATTTGGCTTCCACCCCATTAAGCACAGCAATCTCTCTAAACTTCTTAAGTCTGGCAGGAGAACTCCTCACCCATCTCACAACATCTCTAACTTTCTTAACAGAAGGACCTGCATATCTCAACCCATCCTGGACCACTAAGTTCAACACATGGGCTATACACCTCATGTGCATATATTGAACCCTAACAGAAGACCCACCCCAAGACAGAAGTTTGTTCTTGAAAAACCCCAAAGCTGTGTCATTTGAAGAGGCATTATCAACAGTAACAATGAAGACATTTTTAATCCCCTAATCAAGAAGACAACTCTTAAGGGCTTTGGCTATGTACTCTCCCTTATGAGAAGAAATTGGGACAAAGGAAATGATCTTTTTGTTTAGCTTCCACTGATCATCAATGAAATGTGCAGTAATGCACATGTAATTGATCCTTTGGACAGAGGTCCATGTATCAGTGGTCAAGCTGACCCTTTGGGTGCTCACCTTAAACAACTTTTTTAGGGTTATTCTCTCATCTAGGTAAATCTGATAAATGTCTCTAGAAATGGTCCACCTAGAAGGGATTTGAAACCTAGGACAAGCAACTAAAATGAATTTCCTAAAGCCATTTCCCTCAACAATCCTAAAGGGAAGTTCATCAACAATGATCATCTCACACAATGCCCTCCTAATAGCCTCTTGGTTGAAAACCCAAATCCCCAAAACCCCCTCAGAAGCTTCTGTTCCATAGGCATTAAAGGTGAGAAGAGACTGCCTTGTGTCCTTACAATGAGGATTTTTTAGGCAGGCCTTCATATGGCTTTTCAAAGAGGAAGTGCCATGCTTTTTACTTTCACATTTATAAATTTTGGCACAATAAAGGCATTTGCCCTCAACTACTGGTCCCTCAGTTTCACCTTCAGCAGGTGGAGCACGGATCTTTTCAAAATGATCCCATACTATAGATCTAGACTCCACCTCTTTCATCTTCTTTGTAGGAACAACAGGAGGAGAAGGCATAGGATTTGTCTGAGGATTTCTCTCAGTACCTTGAGCTTCTACTCCATGCTCCTCATCAGTTGAGGTTGGAGGGTGTCCAGTTGCACTGATGTTTTCCATCTATAAAGATGGGCATCAGTATCCACATTTTAGGGAGATTACAAATCATACAATCATATTAAAGCTTCCACCATACAATCATACATAGAAGTATTACATATTACACTTCCACATATTGAACAAAATCAGATATTCAGATAGTCACAGAGAACTGAGAGAACTGAGACCACATAAATTACATAATAAACAATTAAACATACAAAGATATCCAGAATCAGACACATGGACATAGTAGTTTGTGTCATCATTTTTCCAGATTTAACAATTACCAATTAAGGGTCATACATCCATAAACTGATAGACATAATAACATATACAATTATACAAACAAATCCAGATTCAGGAACTCAGTCCAGATCATCATTACCTGGATTTGAGTTAAGGGCTTCCACCAATAAATGGAAATTCCCACACTGGAGATTTCACATTTTAGCCTTTAACTCGGATTGTTAGATTACAAATTTGCATGGCATAAAATCCAGATTTCACAAAATCAACACTTAGAAATCAGTTTGTAAAAGGCTTCCACCAACAAATAGCATAATATATGAATATATCACCAAATATTCATCACAGACTCATTGTAAATGAAGATATATAAATTATAAAACTAGGGTTTACAATTTACTTGATTTCTCCCAAATAATCCCGGGAGAACAAGGGCTTCTAATCACCAGTTCACCAGTAATCACCACGGCTTCCACCACTTAGACTCTCAGAGACAGAGAGTAAGAGATTAGAGATTAGAGATTGCAACGCTTCGATTCTGAGAACCCTGAGATTAGACAATAGAGATTAAGAGATTAGAGATTTAGAGATTACAGATTACAGAATAAGACTATAAGAGATTAGAGCTTAGAGAAATAGAGATTAAGAGATTAGAGATTTACCTTACGGATTTACAAAATCAGAGATGACTGATGCGTGCTGAGTCTTGAGTTCTTGACTCTTGAGAGAACTGAGACTCTGAGAGACTGAGAGTCTGAGAGAGTGAGACTCTAAGAGAGTTGAGAGTCTAAGAGAGTGACTGAGTGAGAGTCTGAGACTCTGAGAGAGTGAGAGAGACAGAGAGTTGAGAGTCGAGAGAATGAGAGATGCGATCTCATATCTCAAACCCTAGGTCAGCTGCGCGGATGAGAAAATGAAGACCAAGTGGTGGAAGGCATGTATATATACATTGATGGAACGATGCCGTATTATACAAGGCCTTAGGGAACCCTAGGATAGTTCGGGTGGTCGGACGGGTCGGTTGGCAAAAATGTACACCCCATCCGAACCTTCTAAACCGACGCCGTATTGAATGGCGGATCGGGTAAGGAGAGTCGGGTACGGGTATCTACTCCGATAGCCAAGCAGTGGGGCGGGTTGTTCGGGTTGGACGGGTTTTGCACAGCCCTAACTAGGGGAGAGAACATGAGAGAGAGAAGGAAGAAGAAGAAGAAGGAAAAAAAAAAAAAGAAAAGAAATTGCAAATGAAATAATGCGCTCGAACTTATATAAAACAAATATTATGAACATATAGTACATGACAAATGCTATTAAATATGATGTACTAGTTTATATTTATATTTAATATAAAACGACATTTTGCCCAAAAAAAAAAAAAACAAACAAACAAAAAACAAGGTCTTTTTAAACCAATGTCATCATTATCAGTCATTATATTGTGGACCGCGGTGCACGTGCACCGCGGTCAAAATGGCGCCGTTTCTTTAAGTAAAGAAACGGCGCATCGTTACAGTCAACGGAGCGCGCATTTTTTTGTGTGTTAATTGCCAACTGACACTACAGTGTATCTAAACTGACACTACAGTGTATCCAAACCGACACTGCGTCACGTATTATTTTATATATCATCAAATGAAACTGCAGTTATATCAAAATGATACTGTAGTTGTGGTGAAATGGAACTGCAGTGTATATAAAATGAAACTGAATAACATTTCACATATTTGAGTGTATATTGTGTAATGAAGATGTAGTTATATCGAAATGATCATGTAGTTGTGTTTCAATGAAACTATAGTGTATATAAAATAAAATTAAATAACATTTTCACATATTTGAGTGTATAAATATCGAATGAGACTGTAGTTATATCAAAATGAAACTGTAATTGTGTTGAACTGAAACTGCAGTGTATACAAAATGAAACTGAATAAAAGAGTTACTTTTTGCGGAACGGCACGAAACAGGTGCCGTTTCTTTTCATTAAACAAAACGACGTCGTTTTGGAACTCGGTGCACGATATAATTTGCCCATCATTATAAGGTGGACTTTAGTACAGAAGATTCCTCCAACGGTATATATATATTCTCATAATACTTGCATTGGGCTTTGCTTAAAAGTGTGATGTTAATGGCTAAAAAAGAATACACAGGTGGCCCTGGTGCACCCATATATAACAAAACAATAATTATTGCTTTGGCATGAAGTGTCTACTATAGTTGGAAACTTCATACATAACATTCTTATTTTGACAGATTATGAGTTTTTACGGTGGCAATCATCAAGACTTACACGATCAAGATTATTTTTGTCTTGAACTCAACTTCTTTTCCTTTTGAGAGGTGATTTTTTATTTTTTTCTAACATTTATGTGAATGATTGACGAGAAGAATTCACTGTTATTATAGGATGATATGCATTTACTTAATTATAATTACTAATATAATTAAGTTACTACTAAGACTATGTGGTCTAATGGTACCCGGGTTGGACTTCCATTTGGAAGGTTACGAGTTTGAGCCTCAAAAAACAATTAAGATACAAGATACTTAAATTGGCTGATTTAAACAGGTAAAGATGAGAGTTAAAATTTTAATTATACGTCTTCGACTATAGTGGTTTTTCTCAATTTTGTCCTAAACGACTTTGGTGACTTAATGTAGTCCCAAAGTTTTGTGTTTTTACTCAATTTCGTCCCAGACTTTTGTGTTTTTGCTCAATTTAGTCCCTCATTTGTTATTCCGTCCATTTGTTGTTAAATAAATAGACAATTCAGTAATTTTAATATAGGCAGCTCTTTATTCATAGACATGTGAAGTGTGAAATCCCTCTTTTTTTACGAATTACTCCCAGAATCACTTCTAAAGCTGCGAATATAAAATTTGAATCGTAGGTCTGAGAGTAACTCTGGGTGTAATTCGTGTAAGAAAGAGAGATTTATCACTTCGCAGGTTGAAAGTAAAGAGAGGTCAATATTGATATTATTGAATTGTCCCTTTATTTAACATCAATTTGACGGAATAACAAACGGAAGACTAAATTGAGCGAAACACAAAAGTCTGGGACTATATTAGGTCACCAAAGTCGTTTAGGACGAAATTGAGAAAAATTACTATAATCGATGCTAATTTTGGGTATTAACTCAATTACCTTGGTAACAATACTAATTTAGTTGGGTTGTCCTTGCACTTTGCCTCTTTTATTTGCCAGAGACTTGTACTGGTCAGGATATGTACTTTTTAACTTGGATTTTATCCTATTTACCTTTACTAATGTTGTATTATTAAACACATAAGACGACAACATATTTATATGGCCCGCAGCCAAGAAAAATACATGAGTAACGTCATCATCAGAAACCTGCTAGCCACAAAAAGCTTAAAGCTTACAACAAAATGGATTAACTAACAGTTTGCAGCAGAAACATAAAGAGCTAAAATCAGGCCGATAACCCAACCAAAATGACTAAAAATACAAACTTGTGACTATAATTTGAATTTTAACCTTCATGGTTTGAGCCGATCAGATCAGCTATGAACAACTTAGACTGATTATGTTTACTCAATGCACACCCTCGGATAAAGAATAACATATCAAGGCAAAAAAGTTAATTTTTACCGGTCTCATTCTCCAGAACAATATCAGTAAACCAACGGCTGCAAGTATACACTGAGCAAAACGCCTGCAAAGCCACCATGGACAGAAGCATGATGGTGGCCATGAAAGTCAGAAGCTTCCACGAACCAAATATATACGCCCTCGCGAATTTGATGGCCTTCACTTTCCATCTCTGGCTATAATACTCGTTCACTCCCTCAATCACCTCATCCAAGAACTGCACTTTCGTTAACCTCACAGATTTGTCCATCCCGTTCCACAAGCTCGCCACTTCTGCTTGGCTCTTCAGTTGGCTCACAATGATCCCTTTGCTTATCAGAACCATGGCGTCCTCCTCCGTGTCCACAATCCCGTTCATGAACTCCGTGTACCGGGCAAGAACCAACGGCCCTTTCGCCCGGCACGCCTCGTAGGCGACTAGGTTCCTCAGGACAACCTCGGAGTTTATGTCCAGACAGACCACCGGGAGGGACAACGTTGCGGTTTTCGGGTCGAATGAAATGCTGGAGATGCCATCGTGAGACGGGACGAAAGTTATGCCGGCTCTGGCTAGATCGGTTACTGAAGGGATTGTGATTTCTTCTATTAACGGGGCTTTGTCGGAATCGGAATTCTCTGGGTTTTCTTCGTCTTTTTCTTCGCCGGAAAAGAAGAGCTTTTCGATTGGGTCTTTGAGCTTGTCCACGCCTGGGACCTTGGCGACGAGGTCTAATGGCATTTTCATCAAGGCTTTAACGGAGCGAGAAGAGGTGAGTTTCTTGAAAACGTTTACTTTTCGAACCATCCCCCAAACCTTCCCAAAGGCTTCCTTGACATGGCTTGAATGCTCGAAAGTAATGGCGGCGGCGGCGGCTTTTTCCTCCTCCACTTCTTGCTGTATTATTATTTCCTCGCCGCCGGCGTGCTCTCCCTCCATCTCCGGCACGATGGCGCGGAACAAATAGTCCAACAAATGGGCAAAACTGTCAAGTTGTTGGTATGTTTTTGAAGTTTGCCCTATTTGACAAATAATTGTTAGCTGATTGGCCAGAGAGTATGATTAGTTGATATAATAGTTTGATTTTAGAAAGATGTTTGGTAAATTAGAAAAGTTGATTTTGAACAGTTTTTTAAATTTTAGCATTTTAGGTTACAAAAAGTTAATTAACCAAATACATATATTATTTTTTTAACCAAATCAAATAGCTAATAGTGGTCAAGTAAGTTAAAATTGACTGAAAAAAGCGAGTTAATACCATCCAAGATCCTTCAGGTATAGTGATTTTGCCACGTTTAGTCCTAAACTTTCAAATTGACCATTTGTGGTCTTTCGATTTTCAAATTTAACCATTAGTGGTCCAAATGAACCACCCTTGGTCCTTCAACTATTAAATCTTAACCACCCATGGTCCTATCAAGTGGACCACGACTGGTTAAATTTTGAAACTTGAAGGACCCTGAGTGGTTAACTTGGACAACGAATGATTAAATTTAAAAGTTGAAGGACTACATATGGTCAATTTGAAAGTTTAGGGCTAAACGTGGCAAAATTATTATACTCGGAGAACCTCAGATGGTATTAACTCGAAAAAAGCTAACTATTTTACCAAGTAGTGTTGATGTCTTGAATGGTGAAACGTCTTTGGAGAGCCCCATTAGCATGGCGAGGAGCGTTTCGTCGGAGACCTCCGGCGACGAGAACTGCGACTGCAACATTGTTTTGAGGATGAAGAGTGGGATTTGGTTCTCCAGCATCAACAAGTCCCGGAGCAAAGCATTATGCGACGATTTCTTCCCCTGAAGATCTACCAAATGGGACATCTTCGAAGAAATGGCGGCTGCGACAAGCCTGCCTTCCTTGACGGCGTAAATCTTAAGAAACTCCAGCAAGAACGCCGAGTCTATCGCCAGCATCAACGCCAAAGTATCGCAGCTAAGCTTCAAGGGCCTGTCGTGGGAAATCCTGATCTTGGACTCGACAGCCTTGATTTGTTGGACGAGGTGGTCGAAGGTGAGAGACGGCGACTTGATCTGTTTCTGGAAGATCTTGGCGGCGTCGATTTTGTACTTCTCCATCTCGAGAACGTCGTGGTCTAGGAAGTGGTAAGGCCCCATGGAGACTTGTTGCGGGACGTAGGAGCTCCGGTCGCACGCCATTAGAGATTTGGGGACGGTGAAGACGACGACGTTGAAATCCAGCTCTTCTGGGAGCTCTTCATGGAGGGTCTTGTTGATATGCCTCACCCATCCTTTCTCGTCGAAATCCGAGGTTGCTGTGTTTTTCGATTGGTACGAGGTCATCATCTCTCCCTTGCCGGCTACCTGGAATTGAAGTTCTTTATTTGATGAAGCTAGCTAGTTCAAGAAACTTATGGTTTAATTTGGAGGAGAGTGAGAGATGGATGAAGATTCACTATAATACTATGAATCTATAATAGTGGCTGCAATGGCTGGTTGCTAAAACATGCATACGCATATATATATTGATTGAGAGATAGATTTGGGTACACACTTTAGCTATATTTTATTTTTGGAAAAATGGTCTCTAAACTATTTAGAAAAAAAATATTTATATTTTTAATTTTAATATTTAGATATTAATCCTTCTAAAAAAAATATTTAGATATTAATCATCAAATGCTTTTAAAAAATGTAATTAAAATATTGTTTTTACTAATAAGTTATTTGCTGTGTTTTTTTCTATGCAATAGAAAGGACAAAGAGCCCCCATTAAAAAATTCTACGGGTCAAAGTAACTCCACTGCATGCCCGCTTGGATCAAGTCTTGTAGCGATTCCTCTAGAATAATTGTCCCCAAATAAATTACTTTGCTATTGCAAGTTATATTGATGTAATTGTAACATGCAGTCATGCATGTAATTTCTTTTTATACATGAATGTCACATTAAAGTTAGATCAACATAACTTTTTTTAAAAAATTAAAATATATAGTATATGAGTTACTACTCATGAATCTTCTACAAATATAATAAATATTGATATTTTGTTCAATACTTTCACATGAGAATTCACGACACACATCTCACAACATGTGAAACATGTAGGGGAAAAACTACCCCTGCAAAATATCAACCGACGTTTGCAAGATAAAAAGTTCATAGTACAACTAAGATCACAATCATATACACAGCAAAACAAATCTAAAACTTCCTACAATATAATCGCATTGCATAGTGTTGGCCTCTATGCTACCACTAATAACCCAAATGCACATGACACACTACCAATAAAAAAGAATATGACAAGTATTGAAGATAAAGACAATGACGTTGCTACCAAAAAAGAGAATTAAGAAGTCTTAGAGAAATTCAAACCAAAATAGTATTTATTTAGACTATATATTATTTTTAGACTAGTGTTTTTACAAAGTTTAAACATTTATATATTTTAGTGACAATTATAATGCATTTATATACCTTGAATTACCGATTTAAATAAACAAATTCAACATTCACATAAACATCTCCTATATAATATTGCATTTATATATTTTGAAGTACTTATTTAAAAATAAACATTGGACATTATCACATTCACACAATGCGCGTGGAAAACTAGTATATAATATACGTGATGGGCATTCATGTATACAAAAAAAAAAAAAAAAAAAAAAAAAAAAAAAAACATGTCAAAGCCACACACCAATATAACCAACAATAGCATGTAATTTACACATAAAATAAAAGTCATAATTACACTTTTTTAAAGAGTTCCAGAGGTGTGCTGTGGGATTAGTTTTCTGACTATTGATTGGAGGGATATCTTTGGACAACAAAAAAAAAAAAAAAAAAAAAAGTTCCAGAGATAATAGAATTTTTTTTTAATTTGATGCAATTGACTTTTCTTAATGGACATTGTTCCCTATTTTTAATTATATTTTGATATATTTCTAAAACTAATTTCTAATTTGAAAAATCTGTTGATCTTTTTCTTTCTGTACATTGGGTGTATTTGGTTCATGGGTTTAGCTATAGAATCAAAGTTATTGTTATTGTTTGGTATAGGTTTATAGAACTCTACTATGAGATTTGATTACCCTTTAATTAGAAAACTCATCCCCTAATAAAATAAGGGTTTCATTCCACTATTTCTCTTGGTAATTTGATTTTTAAATTTGGATTAGTACTTTTAGATTTTTATTTTTATTTTTTTGTTCATATTGATGTTTTTGGATGTCTTTATATTAGAATAAATTGTCTTAATTTTATGTTCTTGTATTTTTAAAATATTTATTTCGATCATAGATAACCAAAAAACAATATTAATAATTATTTCAATTCCACGCACCCTACTACTAAACATACAAAATACTTCACCAAAACACATTATCATACCAAATATTTGACATTCTAATTCTGATTCTCATGTGCAAATCAAGCTCATTTTCTCTATATGAATTCTTTCCCTCAAATTTCTTTTCTCCCCTCTCCCTCATTCACTCATTCATCATACGGTCTGTCTGTTGGAGACCATTCAAACAGAAAGCTCATAGAGCATGTGGTTTCCCTAATCTTTAGGGTCATCACTCAATGTGTCAATTTACTACACATGAACGTGCCATGCTCTAGCAAGCTTCTCTCCTATCTTTGCGAGAGTTTATGGCCAACATTTGCTGATCAATACTATAAATTCATGCATTCTCCTATGCAATGAGAGGACACGAGCAATACCAACTTATTTGGTCCATTTGGTAGCTTTTATAGTCTGAGCACAGAATAGAAATCTGTGTTGCCTGTCGAAAGCTTGTCGGCCCTTCACCTGAAATATTAAGCTTTTAAAGTAGTGTTTTAGACACGCCACAGATCATTGTTCCCCATCTTGTCCAAATTCAGTTCCTACAAACCACTTGCATTCTTCACCTTCATATTATTACGTAAAGTGTTGTTACGTTAGTTTTGGAGCAGTAGCAAATTATCCAACACTGTCTACCAAGGTGGGGAAAGAAATAAATAATACATAGTATATTTTCAGTCTACCCAAAGTCTACTTCAATCAAAGAATTAATATTTAATATTCTTAAATAATAGGCTTTTTTTTTTTTTGAAAGCCAACAAACTTATACTGCATTAGCCATTCCAGGCTCAAGAAAAGAAGGGGGCAAATCCCTCCAGGTAGTTCGCACCAGAGCGGAAGTTACATGCTTAGCCATAACATGGGCATCCTGTACTACATCCCTACGAACATGAATAACAACTGATCTAGACATAGAAGATAACAAACGATTGCAAGCTAACAAAATATATCCAAAATAATTACGAAAAGAACTTGCATGCTTAAGGCTAGAAACTAAGACAAGACTGTCGGAGCACACTGAGATCCTCGAGTATCCATTCTCCCTGAGCCATGATAACGCCTCACACATAGCCATTGCTTCCGCCAAGAGGGGGTCATATGGGCAATTAAGAGGGCCATTTCCTGCCGCCACAAACAATCCATCCAACTCATGCACTACAAAACCGTATGCCGGCACCTGCGTCGGCCCATTGAAGCCTGCATCAACATGACAGACCACACCTTCATCCAAAAAAGTAGCCGAACTGGGACCATCATGGGCTCTGCGTGTGGTTCCCCTTTGGTGTTCCACAGTAGACCAAGAAATCCACTTCACTGTGAACCTCCTGACCACCATACACGGCATTGGCAAACAACCATTCCAAACCGCCTCATTCCTTGCAGTCCAAATGTCATATAACAAGCCACAAATCCTCCCTCGTGCCTCAGCACTATAAGTACTCGTGATACCAAGCCAAAGATCAGTCCATTGGCCGAAATTCCTGTTATCAAAAGAAGGTATTAGCAGCTGAGACAAATTCCACACTTGTGATGCAAAAGGGCAAGTACATAAAGCATGCATGATGTTCTCCTCCCCCACACCACACGCTGGGCATATATTAATCAACTCAACTCTTCTAACTAGCAAATTATCAAGAGTGGGCAGAATGTTAGACAAAGCTCTCCACATAAATATCCTCTACCTCGGGGGACCTGTAAACTCCATAAATTATTCCATGCAGGCAAACACGGGCCGTTAACCTCTCCCATCCTCCTGTACTCATCTTTAACCGAGTAGCTACCCCTCAGATCCCTGTCCCAATACCAGACATCATCACAATTCAAATTCACAGGAAGCTGCTTAATCAACAAGACATCTCGTGGGGCAAACAACTCATCCAGCAGGTCAATATTCCACTCATTGGTGGTACTATCAATGAGGTCCGAAACCAAAAGCTCCTGCCCCAAACCTGGATGGGTTGAGACTACATAGGGATCAACAGCATCAGGCAGCCACGGATGATTAATAACACTGGTGGACCTACCATTACCTTAAATAATAGGCTATATTTGTCAAAATTTATAATTTATTCTGACATAAAATAAGTTATTAATTTTTTAACTTTAAAATAGTAATTTAGTTTGAAACGTCATTCTACCTTTATAACATTTTAATCTTTTTCTTACTTTTATTCTTATTATTTTTATATTTAAAAACATAATTTCATGTCTCTCTTTTTGTATGTTAATAAATATATACATTTTACTTTAAATGTTATACACTTCAATGTTATTAGACAAAATTGCCTCTGTTACATTCTTGTTAAACAAAATTATCCTTACATTGTTATAACACCATTACTTTTTAATTCTAACATTGATAACTCCATCATTATTACCATACACTTATATCTATCATATTTTTTTTTCTTATTATTATTATATAATTAATTTTTGTAAATGCTACTAGCTCTATTACAATGTAGTATCTGTTCATATACTTTCTCAACCTACTGAAACACAAAGAGCTAATAACGCCTCCACTGAGGCTCGAACTTACAACCTTCCAAATGTAAGTCCAACCCGGATACCATTAGACCAACCCGCCACCGGCTCTATTGGTTATCGCAACCCACATGCCCGGGGGAGCGACAAATATCTGGGAGGTGGTGGTGGTATTGAATTATACTTCCTAGAAGTTGAGTTTGGAAAAGGGAGGAAGTGATGTTCGTTATTGAATTATACTTCCTTCAGGCAAGAAAGTGGGGGACTTGTGATGACCAGCCCGAAAGAAGGAAGCTTGGAGCAAAATATTATTAGAATTATTGTTAGGGGGTATCAAACCTACAACCCCAAACATAACAACATAAGTCCCAAACCACCAAACTAATCAAAATCTTGTGTACTAAAGGGTAGGAAGCTCCACTTATACATGGGAGTGCGCTGGAAGCAAGGTAGTGGAGGACACGTGTGTGGTCCAGAATGAATGCTGCCAGATGTCGTCCATTTGTCAACATCCGTGAATCCCTCAACAGTATAAATAGACACTCTTCCCTCCCTTTTTAAGGCACCTATGGCTCACCAAACCCCTTTAGGTCCATTGGACTGAGTTTTTAACCCCTTCTGGCACACCAGAGTTCGAGTCCTATCGGTAACATATTTAGTTTTATTTCATTTATTAGTTCCCTTAGCTTGTTTAGTTATT